CATGATCCTATGGGGCCCCGGCTCCTAAAGAGGTTTAAGCATCATGATCCTATGGGGCCCCGGCTCCTAAAGAGGTTTAAGCATCATGATCCTATGGGGCCCCAGCTCCTAAAGAAGTTTAAGCTGTTTAATCATCTTTGCTCTTTCCTTTTCCAGACTCACTTCTGGTTCTCTGACCCAGCCTTCTGAGGCCATGGCCGTGTCATCTCCATTGGCTCTTCTGCTATCAACCCATGAACTCACCCTGGCCTGTGATCGCTGCTGCATCAAGGAGAACCAGATCACATTCAGGCTAAGACCAGTTCCACACCAGTGTCAGCATCAGGTCCTACTCTGCAGAACTAAAGGTGGCAGCAGTTGGAGGCCCGTCGCCAAGCGACCAGCGTTTCCAAATCCCAAACGATATGAAGCCTGTTGGTTCTTTAAGGAGGGCCAAGGCTGCACCGTGCATAAAAACCGCTGCACATTTGCAAAGAGTGAAGAGGAAGCAGCCGTGTGGACGTTTGAAAAGGAACACAGAGTGGACCATGAGCTTCTCTGTAACATGTTGCTCCAGTCCAACGGCAAACCTGAGCAGAAACCCGATGCAGCACCTCAGGGTACCCTCTTCACCACTCTGGATCTGAAGGCTGTCTGTGATTTATGCTCCAAGCAGGTGAATGAAATCACCTACAGCGTTCAGTCCGTTATTCACAAGTGTGGCCGGAGTCTCCTCCTAGCCAAAAACAAGGCCTCCAACCAGTGGAAGTCCATAGCTGAGCGGCCTACTGGGGGAACCATTGGAGCTAAAGTCCTCTATAAGGTCTGTGATCACTTTGTTGAGGGATCTGGATGCAGCAGACATAACTTAGGTAGGGGATGCACCTATGCCAAAAGCTCTGAAGAGGCCACAGTGTGGAACTTCCTCAGAGAGAAAGGTCTCAGTAAGACGGAGTTAATCACACACATAATCGAGTCTGATCCAGTCTCAGAAACACCAGAACATGCAGCCCATAGAATTCTTCAGAGGTTTTCTGGGAGATTCATGGAGTTCTGCAAAAGTTGTTTTCTGGGACGGCCGACTAAGCTGACACCAAAGCGATGGAATGACTTCTCCTCTGCAGATGCAGTTCACACCTGGGAGCCGGTTCTAGTTCATCACCTGTCAGAGGACAGCTCAAAGCACATCTACAGCCAGGTCCGCCCCCTTCCCCCAAACTGCCCCTTTAACTTCTGCAGTCACATCCGTCAGGGTAAGCCCTGCTGGCACCAGGCTGGCCACTGCAAGGCCGCCCAGAGTGAGGTGGAGATGGCGGTGTGGAAGGCTGAGCACAGCGGCCTCTCAGTGCGTCCTCACCTCCTTCGGCTCAGTCAGGAGAATCAGGTTCAGTCCAAGCAGGTCTCCATATTCTGTAAGGTGTGCCTGCTGGTGCTGTCCACCCCAGAGAGCTTCTACAAGCACTGCTCTACACTAGAACATGCCCAGCTCCTGTCCCAGGACACCATCACCAATTGGAAACAGCGGCAGCCTCCCCACGGCCGGCGGGCAGAGTTATGGCTCTGCGACAGGTAAATAGCTCACGCCATGGCATCACATAGGTAGAACCATACATGTCCTGTTATCTAGAAGAGCATTTGTGTTCTCATTATATCTGGAGAAAATCAGAATAGACTAACACCAGGAGCAGCGCAACACATAGAGAGACACATCTTGATGTTTTAACTCATCAGTAAGCAGTTTCACTGCTGCTCATAGATTTGAGTTTTATAGCAGCACAACATGTAAAAACCAACATAAAGCCCAACTACATGCTTCTAAATGGAGCTGAAATCAGGGGCGCTTCTCAATTCACGAGAACGCGAGTACGTACTCGCGTTCTCGTCAAGTCCGTTCTTGGCGAGAACGCAGGAAGATCGAAAACGCGAGCACGCAAGCACGTATGTATATTGGAGCAGAAGCGTACTCGTGACGTCATCACAGGCAACGTTCTTTAGCATTTCTTTAACAGTCAAAACTATTCCCTACACAAAACATTTTGAAAACAATATTTTTAATTTCTAAAGCTTAAAAAACATTTAAAAAAATTACCGAACCGAAAAAAAAACGCCATCAGAACGAGCGGTAGTTCACACATAACTAGACCG